ACCCCATACATACATACATACATACATACATACATACATACATACATACATACATACATACATACATACATACATACATACATACATACATACATTTTTCCGTAAGTTCTTCCTGCGGTACTGTCCAACTAGAATTTCATGTGGCTTTGGGGGACTTCGATAAGGTTTCACTTGATCGATGATCGATCAATCAATTAGTTCACCAACCAAACAACCTACCAACCCCCCAACCAGTCAATCTACCAACCAACCAACCAATCAACAAAACAGCCAACCAACTAAACAACCAACCAACCAACCAACCAATTCACCAACCAACCAAACAACCAACCAACCAACCAACCAAAGAAATTAACAAACCAATAAAGGAATTTTATTTGAAATCAACAAACAAAGACATTCTGTTGATAAAGTATACTTTACTCCTCAGTTTACAGTTTGGGAAATTGGGCTGGGGGTGCCATACACATGTACATGTGGAATATGGCCGCTGAAAGGACAGTATTCCGCATCAGGAAGGCGTTCTTTCGAAGCCTACTGAGGCAGAACATTGGATGGATTGAAATGAACAACATAAGTGCTCTGAACACAAGGTTGACGGGGTATGTTAAAGACACTCTTCATTATTTTTTGTTTATTCTGCAATTTGATTTCAAGGCGATGCTTTCGATTTTGTCAGAAAAAGTGAAACAACTTATTCCCGTTCATGTGCCTCATTCGGGTCAGCGTCTACTTTCATAGAGTTTGGCTCCTATTTCACTCTCCTATCGCCACATTCAAGCACCATTATCCGAGCAAAATCGTTGAGAAACTCATGAAAACATATCTGCACAAACGGTGCACAAACATAATTTATTCGGCTGACGCTTGACAAGTGTGCCAAACAAAATAGATCACTGCTGCTGATAAGATTGGTCAGTTCATTGTGGAGAGGGGAGGGGAACACATATTGGGAGCAATACAGATCCAACAATATCCGTTGCGCAGTGGAAGAAAAAGGAAAAACCTAGTGACAATTCAGACACGGTGTGTCACACTACTATCATTATACAATGCACTGCTGGGCTATCGCTTGATTACAGGAAAAAACGTTTTTATCTCGAATTTCTTTATAGGTGAGAATATCTAACAATCGAATAAGCCTGCCCTTTGTAAGACCTGAATGAGGTGAAGAACAAGCAGTGCACCTTGTGCGCCCTACATTTTGTTTTTTGATTGAATTGCATTAGAATGATATTATGAAGTCATTTTGCCTTACTTTGAATATCGTTCTCTTTGTCTTATTTCTTAACAGGGATGTTAACCATATTCAAAGTGGAATCGGCGACAGAATGGCTAACAGCATATACTACCTTTCAAGTAGCATTGCTTTGATCATATACTCCTTCATTGAAGGATGGGAATTGACGCTTGTTATTTTGTCAGTGTCTCCGTTCATTGGAGTATGCTCATCTATGCTTTTAAAGGTGATAAGTTCTTTGTTATCGGGTGCACATTAGAAACTATAACATAAGTAAAGAAGAAGAGAGTGATATTTGGTCACTAAATAGCCAAACTGCGCAGAATATTGTCTCCCTCGTGGTGAAAAGCGACGTTCCGTATTTGAAACTTGAAAGCTCAAGAAGGCTGGGAATTGTTTTTAAGCTTTTAAGCTTTTAAGCTTTTGTTTTTTATTTACCTTGTGATCCTCTAAACCAAGGTTTGTTATTCTAAACTATTGAACTTTAACGTTGCTGTGGAAAAAAAGTTATCCTCATGCTAGTGACCTCTGGCTTGACTACAGTCGTGACACAGAAGACTCCACTTATAACAGTTTTAGTTATTACAGGATTTCGGCGATAGTAGGCTTACATGTATAATAAATCCAGGGGTCCGATCTCTTACGATATGTTTTTAAAAAGTTCTTTGTGTTCTGGCATTTGGACAGATATGCTTGGCTATAACGGTGGTTGATAAAATCCAAAAGCAAACGGATAAGAGAGCAGAAAAAAGCAAATGAAGTTAAACAACAGCCAATATTGCAGGCGAATTGCACGTAGGTACGTGGTCCACAGCTGTTCTAGGTTGATTATGTTCACATTATATGATGTGTCCGTGTGTGCTGGGGAGGGGGGGGGGGACTGGACGCACTTTGGTGTTGGTGAAAGTCCATTCAGTGACATTGCATGACGTTGATCTGGTACATAGTCGCACAATATGTTTGCGTGAGTTCAAAATCACTGATCAAATTTTCCGTCGTTGAGTAGAGTTATTGTGAGGGGCCAAACGTATCGATTTTAAGTAAGATGTTTTACCCCTTTGTCTTTGGCTATTTCATATTCGGATTTTTTTAATGTTTTAAAACGTTAACTTCTGTATTTCCTTCAGAAATATTGATTAAGAAAGTATGAAGGTAAACGTTCTGCAGGTCTGGTTCTATTTTCACTTGAACTTGATACCCACAGGCTCACGCTCTAATGTCGTCCAAAGAACAAGCAGCCTACGCTAGAGCTGGTTCTATTGCAGAAGAAGTACTCGGTTCTATAAAGGCAGTCGTATCCTACGGTGGACAGCAGAAGGAAATCGACAGGTATGGGATTATTCTACAGCCTGATTGGCACAGTTTAGACGATTCAAAGCTGTGTGGGATACAGCATCCTAGTAGAAAACCAGACACACTTAATTAAATAGGCTCCTCGACGTCTTTGGTGTGTGTCGGCACAAGCGTGGCCATGTACACCACAGATTTCGGAAACTTTATGTTCCTTGTAACATTTTAGGTAGTGGTGACGGTAGCGATGATTGAATTCAAAGTAATGTACAAAACTAAACAAAATACTTACGTTTGTTTTTATTCACAGATAGCAAAATTGAGAGAATGTTTATTTTCTTAAGGAAATAACAAATCAAAAATTCATTGAGATATAATGAACAGTCAGCTCTTACAACATGTCTGACTCTTATTTAACTCAATGTTCATAACTTATGTTGCTTGAAAACACAACATTTTCCCCTCCAATCGTGAAAGGTAAGTACATTTATAACGAAACGTATGCATTCGAACAACGTGACAAGAAACCATGAAAATGAAAAAAATTAACAATCTTAATTCTTTCTTTCCATTTTCTTTCTGATTTTCTCCATTCACAGAAGAGGTCTCACCCATTTGCAATGTACGTGGGAAATGTTCACCCGCACTCAGATTGAAATCAAGTTTTAGTAATAAGGGTTATGCGCATTTACTGGCTTGTACGTAGAAGGATCACCTTGTTTAAAAATTACGTCATCTTAACATAAATCATATCATAAAAAGGTATGAAAATACCACACCTTTTTTGTCTTTTTGTTAACTTTGCTAGTAGTAGGAATACATTTCAATTTCATGTAAGTTGAGACCTTGAAGGAATACGACCCACCATATTATTCTACAGCCTTTTGAAATGAGACATATTAAATGGAATAATTCAATAACAACGTGTTCTACACCTGGTCAGCAAATGAAAGCCTGGAAGTCTTATTACTGGGATATCATTGTACGGAGTTCACTTTCAACCTGATGGTGGCCGAAACTTTTCTTTGTATTCAAATGAGATGTACTAGGTTTAATCAAATATATGGCAAACTAGGTCATCTTGTAAAATCTGACTTCTTGTTGTTGCTACACTTCTGCCGTTCTCCTCTTTGCGTGTTTGTTTTTGTTCTGTTTGGTTTGTCGAGCAAAATAAGTATGTTTAACTAGTAGTGTGGTGCTTTGTTTGTTTAGTTGATTTAAAAACATTTTTTGATTATTGCTGCTCTAAAAAGGCTTGCACCCACAAGGATGTCCTATCGACAAATAAATTGCCATTTCACGACATCATCCCTCATCAGTCGAAAAGTCCTATTACTTTAGAATATGTTTTTTTCTGTAATCATTTTATTGCATCGTAAAGTGGATGTCTTCCACGAGGCACATTTATAAACACCAAGGCAAAAAGACATCAATTAGTTCTCAATTTAAGTGGTTTGCTATTCAGATTTTAAAAATCCAATACGTAGCCTAACATTTGGCTACGGCAAAGCACAACTTTTTTATGGATATTTTTTTACGTTTGTTTTTGTTTGCATATGTCCCTATTGTTCATTTGTTTTTGTGCGTGTGAGTCACTGGCTTCCGTCAAATGTGACCATGATATCTTATCTCAGGTACAAAATCTACGTGAACGAAGCCAAGAAACGTGGAATCCTAAAAAGCTTTGTGGTTGGATTCTCGATGGGCGTGAACAATTTCTGTGTCTATTGTCTCTACGCTATCTCCATCTGGTACGGGGGTAAAAAAGTGCGAGACGACGACTACGACCTGGGTAAAGTGCTACTGGTGAGAAAAACTGAGCATTTATTTCTAAGTTTTATTAACTCTACTCTTTGACTGCTGAGAAAAAATGAGCATTTCTTTTTTAAAGTTTTTGTTGACTGTACTCTTTGGTACCCATATTTTCTTCGACTGTTAGTGATACGCAGGTTTAGGGGGCACGAGGTACAGCTGAAGTGAAAATATTTTTGTTTGGGCTCTTAATTAAGTATACTGGGGTTCCCAATAACCAATATGGGTCAAGAAACAGAAACACACTATCCCTAAATGATTTCACTGTCAATTTTCTGAATTCTTCAGATGCACAGGGTTCAACAGACCAAACTTCGCGCAAATTCTATGCAGGGATTCTGAAAAATATTGAATTGATACAGCCGTGACATTTTACCACAGTATTTCTATATATACAACCCGCCATGTACTAAAGATTCACTTTCCTAAGTCTCATACTTTTCTTGTACTTGCCCTTTTAGTGTCATACACACAATACTCGGACAAAAAAATTGATCACAATCAGAGTGATACTGTCAATCTTTTTTACACTGACAAAAATCTTATTACAATATCACAATAGTCTTTTAGTACGTTGTAAACATATGATCTAGAAAATGTCATGCAAAGTGGGATTGAGCTGTGACATGTACTTTCAGAAAAATCTCTACATAGATGACCCACCTCCCTA